GTTCAGGCAAGAAAAACAAAACAGCACACACAAGAGTGGACTCCCTTGTCTGAGTCTAAAATGTAAACAGAGCACACACCCTCAAACAAATACCCACCATTACCCCCAACCCCAAACAGCAGCCCTTCTGAGTATACTAAATTCTGCTGTTACCTACAGGTGTTATCAGCTTCTATTATCCCCTTCTCCCACTGAAAGTAAAATCATGCTCAATTTCAACTCTCAGATCATTGTCTTTTCCAGGCTGAAAGAAAACACCTTTCCCAGAGAGAAACACCCAAATAATTCATTATTGCTGTAAAACACAAGAGCTCTGTTTTAAAGTGATTTTCCATCTTAGTGGTTGCTGGGGCTGTGCTGAGGCAGAGGTGACCATCAGAGGTGACTGAGGAAGCAGGAAAGAAGCTCGATGCTCATTTTCTCAAGGTGATTAGGTCCCAACTATGAGATCAAGGGTTGTTCCGAGTGTGTTCACACCTCATGTCAGTTGTGTACCAGACACAGCCTTTCTGGGAAAGAAACTGGGATATTTTCAGCCCAGCACACCTGGTGATACCCTCAGCTGGGACTGGTAGATCAGAGCTGCAAGTTTTGATCACTGCTAGGCAGAGCAGACATCACCTCTGAGTCCCTGTCAGACCCACACTGAGGCCTGTGTGTCCTGGGAGCTGGAAAACTGTTGACACCACCAAAAGGCTGTGTCAAGGTCCCAGTCTGGGGTTGTTTGTCCAGAAGACAGATCAACAACACAGCTGGAAAGCGTCCAGGTACAGTTTCCAAGCCTTTTCTGAGCTCCCTGCCCTTATCAAAACTCCTCTACTCTCTTGCTTCTGCAGAAGTTGTATCCACCTTGGAGAAAGGAGCAGGAGCTGCCAAGTCACCTGTCAGAAGCTCACTGCTCTGCTGGTGTGCAATTTCTCCCTGTCTCTGCTCTCCCTGCCTCTCCAATTTGTCAGCACCAAGCTCCTCCATCCCTCTGCATAAGATACACCCAGGGCTCTGGAGCTGGGGAGGGGAAGGTGGGAATGCAGCAGCAAGTGTCAGAGAGGGAAACATGCAGAAAATTGAGAGCAAATAGAAAAAAAAATTTAAAAATCACTATTCAGGAGGATTTTGTGTTTGCAGATAGTTACACTAAATCCATCACTTCTGTCATCATCATCAGAGCCCTGTGACACAGCCTGTCCTCACTGGTTTAGATCCTCACATTAGATCTGTAATCAATACAAAGTATTAAAAGAACTGATTAAGAAACAGCTCCAGGAGTTTGGCTGGTCAAAAACCATTTTGGTGCTTGAATGATGCCCCTTGCTCAGCAGTCAGCTGCATCACTCTTGGGCCCTTTGCTTTCAGAGGACGTGTGTGTGGGTGACAGTGACAAAGAGAAATACACCTAGGGGACACCATTTGATCCAGGGCTGCTGCCTGCCAGGAAGGGCTGACTCTGGACTGACTTCTGTTCTTAGACTGAAATACAAAGCTGGCATCTACATTGCACTAGGCCAAAAGAGAGTAGGCTTGCTTTTTTAGTGGGAATGCTGGTGCTAAAGCCAGCAGTTTTCCTTTTTGCTAAGTCTGCAAAAGCAATGACTAATATGGCCAAAGTCAAAGGAATACTGTCAGTTTAGCAGAAGCCCTGTTTCTAAACATTTTGAAGTCTCACCTGTAAAACCTGGTAGGAGCAGAGTTTCTTATATTGCACAGTTAATACTGAAAACACTTTCCATAGTATGTTTGATTTTTGGTTTCCTTCCCTGCCTCTTGCAAATGTAAATTGAATAAAAAGACAAGTGTAAACTCCATAAACAAATTTCAAAGTCTATCAACAAACCCTTTCCTGTGCACGTGTTGAGGCAGGGAAGGGGGATAACTGCAGGCTGAAAGGGAAACTGTGCAGCTCCTTCTGCCAGGAGATAGTGCTTCCCTATCTCCCCATTCTGGCCACTGCCACAGGAAGCATCCAGGATTTCAGATAACACCTCTTGAGGCAGCACAGAAATTGAGACCAGCGTTCTCTTTTCAACAACAGTTTCAGTAACTTTGACCCCTTGACTGCTTTCAAGGATGGCTCAGGTAGACAGAGAGGACACAGTGTGCAAACAGAAAATGTTGAGCTGTCGTTTGCCAGCTACACACAAGATGGAAAAAAATGAAGAACTGATTTTATTTGAAGGCAAAAACCACCTCACTCTTGCAGAATGGCAAACGACAGGACAGTTAGAATATAATCAGGGAAGCTGCTTAGTTTAATACAAGCAAATGTGATAAATTGCTTGTTTATAAATTACTTGCAAAGAAGTCACTTTACCCACCCACAGGAGCAGGCACTGCTCTAGCTGAATGTGGTCACCTCTGTGGCCTCAAAGTAATCCTGCCAAGCAGCTATCCCCAAAAGATTGGGAAAAGATGACATTAGAGGTGTATAATGTGCCAGAGGATCTCCTAGGCAATTTCCAAAGCCCTGGGTCACTTATGGCCCTAGCATTTCAAGCACTGAACACAGGTAAGTTGCATTGCACAGTAATTTACAATAATAAACCATCACTGTTTCCTGTGTTTAATGGCTCTCCACGAGCACAATTTTGACAGCCTTTGGTCTGGTGTTTTTGTGCCACAATTATTACCTTTACATCTCTTCTTTCACCTCTAAATCGTTTTCCTAAAATCTGCACTTAAGCATCATTACTCCCTCAGTGGCACAATTATATCACCCCTAAAAATCCATATTGTATGTGTGCATGAAGAATTCACTGTTGGATTCCTCCATCCTTTTCATTTTTAAACCAAAAAATGAACAAGTAATGAAAGGAATAAACTCCCACAAAGTCTCAGTATGGTCCTGCCACACAGCAGTCATTGAGACAGCAAGTGAAAAGCAGCTTCTCCAACAAAAACCCTGGAGAAGGTTTAAAAGAAATGTAGGTGGATATTTGCTATTAAAAAAGGCTCATTATATAGGGCTGGTATTAAACATGGGGTGATACCCCTGTGTCTGTCTTTGTACACCCAAACTTCAAGTCTGTGGGAATTTCCAAAGTGCAAAGAACATGGAGTATAAGCCAGAATTATTTGTAAACAAGGGATAGCTGAGATTTATATAACAGCCCACTGCAGATTTATGAATCCAGGAAAGGAAATAATTACAAAGGAAATTAAAGTTAAAAATAGTCATGAACCACCAAAAAGAATGTGCTTGCACCTCTTTCTCTGGCAACAGAGTGTAACACCCACTTGCTGTGTGGCAGTTCATTCTTCTAGATAATTAGTAGTGCCAGGAATGGGGTCTCCAGTTTAAAAAAGAAACTTTACTTGGTAAATACTTCTCATTATATGTTCAAAATGGGTTTTAGATTGCCTAGACAAAAGGCTTATACTATATGCCTATACATCCAGCACAAAAAGTCTAATAATAGTGTGTTTCAGTATAATGCACTTCTTTTGAGAGCCGGAATAACTAAAAATAAGAGAAATTTTAAAGCCTAAAGCTAACCTACCATCTGACACCATTTATTACCAGCAGAACAGCATAAAAAGCAGTGTGTGAAATGTAAGATATGAACACTGGAGGAATGGACACAGCTGCTTCTAGTTACCCTGCAGATAACTATTTATAGGGCTGGAGACACAATAAAATCCAGTATAAATCAAGAATGCAACTGGCCAGAAACAAGATGGGGAGAAAGAGCTCTATGCCACTGGATATTGCTGTCACCTGTGGTGCCTTGAGTGGCACTGGGGCCATGTCAGGGAGCTGGGAGGATCTCCAGCATCTTTAGGAGCTTCCAAATACTGCCCTTATGCCAGGCACAGGTTTTTAGTGGGTTCAGTGAACAGATCATAGAAAAGCACAACAGCAACCATTTTCTTAAGAGTAAGGAAGTTACAATCCATACCAAAAAAATGCATACTGAAAAAAAGGAAGCAGTGGCACAATTAAACTTCATGTATGCACATCCAGCAAGTTAAGTGGGATTTTAAAATAATAAATGAAGGATTTAATTTAATTTATTGAAAAAACATGTGCAGGTGCAACATAAGGACACTCAAGTGTGTTTTAGGGATTGCCAAGATACAGCAATGGGATCTCGTGGAATCCCTCCCTGTTTGCTTGTTTTCACCTGTCATTTTCTGAAATTAAAAGTGCCATTTTTTTACAGAAGTAGGATGTTTAGTGCTGTCTGAAAACAGTTTTGATAGATTAATTTTAGCAAGTTTTTGATTCTACAAGCTATACCCTGGGCTTGCTGAAATCACGATTAATTTTGTGTGTTTTGATGCCTGTTTCCTCACAGGATAATCTGCAGCCAATAGGTCTGAATGAGAGGCACAAGAACAGGTCCTGAGGATGTGGCTAAACACTCATATCTAAAATGCAGATTTTATTATCAATGTTGGTTTATAGTCACACTCATTAATTACACCAGAAGGAAAGAGTTTATGAAAGTGATAGCTTGAAAAAACTAATAAAAATGAACATGTTTTGTTAATAGTCTCATTTTCTACTCATATTCTGCTGATCAAAGTGAAAATTATATTGTTTAGTTCAGAAGAATATGACAGCATAACATTTATGTAAGCTAAGTTATATTTTCCTTTGCATTTTGTTTAGGGATTGAATAGAGAATACCTTGATCTTTCTACATTTTTCTTATATTCCCATAAGATCTGGGTGCACAAATCCAGACACCAGTAAATTACTGATGGAGCAAGGATGATTTCCTCAGTTAAGGAACCTGTTTGAGAATCAGTTTTTGGGTGCAACACAAAATGAGGAACTCCTGTAAAAGATGGGCAATGTTCAGTGAAATTCCTTGAATAAATATGCTTTGGAAGTTAAAAAGACACTGAGGACTGAAAGGTCAAGTATGGAATAAATTAATTCTGTAATTGATAACAAGCGACTTCCAGCTCTGGCAAATTATGTACTTAAAACAAATTATTAATATTTGTTTGTTTTCTGAACTAAGTATCTGTGATTTTATCCTCAGATGAAAAGAACCAAGGAATTTAAGATTTTGCCCTGAAGTTAAAGGATGTGGGTGTTTTGACCCAGCAGCTTCTGGCTTGCTGAAGTGAGTTTTCACAGCGTTGTGAATATTTTGCATAAGGATTATTTATATTTCTTTATCTCTAAGCTCAGTGTTTGTTTGTTTTTAATCTAATCTAGAATGAACTCTTATAGTAAATACTGATGTTATTTAGAGGAAGCATAAATCAACCATTGGTATCCTCACAGCTCCAGCAACTTCAAACCCCTCACTAAAGCAGAGCTGAAGACAGAATTAAGTTTCATAATATACAGGGTGGTAGTAATGTGCTTTTCTCTTCCCTATTTATTTGCAATTGTTGTCTCAGAGCTGGGAGCAAGAGGGAAATATTTCAAATTCTGAGTTGATTACCATGCTGCTCTTGGTCCACCAAAGGTGTGAGATGCCCATGTCTGCACTCTGCAGCCTCCTTTGATATCAAATGCAGCATCAGGAAAACAATTCCCTGGTATTCTTAGAGAACTCCCAGCTAGAGGATTGCCTGACAAGTGCTTTTCAATCTGATAAGGCAGTGGAAGGGCTCTTTACAGCCTCCTGATTAAATGAATTGTCTCCTCAAGTAACTGACGCCAGTGAATCATCTTCCAGCTCCATGATGGTGAATGCCTGATTCTGCTCACTGGGCTGTTGCAGGATTTTTAGAGGGGTCATACCCGTGAGTGTCATTTAATGTCAGTTGGGCAGTGACTGCTCCATTCCTCTGGAAAATGCCAGGGCTGCCCTAATAAGGTAAATGATTTAAGTCCCAGAAAAGATTTTGAATATTCACAGTCGTATTTTTGCTTTTGTTAAATAGTGTCAAATACACAGCAGCTTCTTGTTCTGTCTGAATAAATTCTGGCAGCCTCGACATCAGCTTGTCTTTGACCCTTGGATGGCATCACCCAAAGATAAAGCAATGGGCTAAATGACTTGGCAGCTTTTAGAACAATGTTCACAGAAGCATCTTCCACTGNAAGAGGCATAAATAATTTAAAGATAGTGCTTTTACTCAACTACTCCTCTTTGCTCACAAAGAAAGTCTTGGAATTTCAGGCATGAAAAGAAACATACTGAGGTAAATGGTAATGCCACCCAATGTAAAACAAAGCATAGAGGATGTAATTTTCCTTAACTTGAAAGTTACATGACGAGATAATATTTATAAAATCTCTTTTCAGTTGCCATGCTGATAACTAGAGACGCAACATCCCATGCTGGGAAGAATTAAGGATGAAATATTCTCTGTTTTCTAGACCATGAGAAAAATTTGGGCAAGATTGAAAAGTTATACCCTAGAGACAGCATTCAAGCCTGGGCCATTCGTGCTGTGTGCATATACATACCACCATCAGAAGCTGCCAGTTTTCCCCCAAAAAGGAAATGAGCCTTTGGTATGTTACAGAGCAGACCCTCCTGATTTAGCCCCACCCTGCAGAATGAGAATCTAGATATTACAGTCATTTTGTTACTCTGCTTTAAAGGTATTGAATTGTGTTGCAGTGCATTGTATTTCATCTGTTCATCTCAAGCTGCCTCGAGAATGGCTCCATGTGTCAGGAGAGGCTTTCCTGGTGCTTCAGATCCGAGTCATCAACTGGGTTACAGAAGACAAAGGTAATTAATCAATTAATTTCTCTTATGACGTGAGCTTTTAGGTTTGTGTGGCTAAGGTATTTGAAACGTTGATTATCCTACGAATAAATTTCAAATGTTAAATTTATTTTATTGTCTGGAATCAGCATACAGAACGAAGGGCTGAGAAAAAGGATTTGGCATCATTCCTTATTGGAAAGAAAATGAAGAAAAAACTCCTTTAAGAAGAGAGAGAATGAAAAGAAAGCAGGGTGAAAATATCAGGAGCTAATTTGTAGACACTCCCCCAAAAGGTCATGGGAGGCAATGGAAGGAATGAAACTGGTGATGGAAATCAGCATCAGAGGCAAACATCTCAAAAATGCAATCTTCAAAAAAAGCAGCAGGCAATCAGGCAGGGGTGCTGTGAGAATCCACAAAGCTCACGTCAGCACTAACCTACAGCAACCACCAGCTCCAGTCCCTGTCACACCCAGGCAACACCCCTGCTTCCAGGGAGCTGCACTCAGGGGTCAGAAACTTGCACACAACACCAAGAGCCCTCCTGAAAAGAGAAAATCCTGGCACCCATTTTCCCTGGCCCCAGGCTGGGATGCAGTGACTCACTGCATTGTCCATGGTGACAGCCTGAGAAGAACCAGTTTCCTTGAACCGAGTAAAATGATGCCGAAAAAAATAATTGTCAGGTGTAAAAAATAGAGGGATCTGAAAACAGAACAAATCTAAATCTAAAAATTATATTAGTTGTTAGCACTAATGGCTAAAATTACTTTTTGTTGCCAGTTTTGGAAATAGTTCTTATTCTTGCTGCATTAACAAAGAAAGGAACAATGACACAGAAAACTACAGTGCTGCTGACTGTCCTAAGGCAAAGTGAAGCTGTCACAGGTTACAAATATACAAAAGAGCTCATTTTTTAGATAAACATTTTGGATTTAAGCTGACCTTTGCTTAAAAATACTGCGTGGAATAACTTCTGGGCTTGATTTTCTCTGTTGCACAAGTAGACTTAAAGCCTCTCCATTTCCTGCCCACCAGTGGAATTGGAATAAGACCCAGAGTTTCAGCTATCCTGTTTTTTTCTATTTCAAACCTGGTAACTTTAAGTTGTGGTATTACACTAAGAATAGAAATAATTTCTCCCTCTGCCTTATTTTGGTTGGTTTGGGACACATTCTGCCCTGTATTGATAAGAGTTTAAAAATAAGTCTAGCAAAACATGAAAATATTTTTGTGAGAAGAAAGTGCACGTTTCTTTTACAGAGAATGTAAATACTAGTGTCCTTTAGAAAACAAATAAGTTCAAAGGTGTAGAGGGGTAAATATTTTTCACCCGTGTTAATTCCATATTTCGGTTTTCCAGCCAGGCCTGTATCAGCATTAAAGCTTTTACCTCCATCTCTTGCAGCAGGCACAGGCCCACATTCCCCAACTTCTAATGATAGCTCTGAGCTAAAATTTCTTTGTGTGACTTATCTGTGTGGATCTCATTAAAGCCTTCAGGCACCATGTGGATAAAAAACATTTGGAAGAGCCTCCCAAGACTCCATCAGATCAGGGACAGCAGATCAGGGAAGAGTGCTGGAGTGCACCAGTGGGGAAGGAGGTGGAAGAGGGGCCTTCAATATGAAAACCAGGAATACTTAAACAATATTTTTCTTACTATGTTTAGTATGATGGGAGTGTAATAGAAAACAGCGAGGATAAACCTCATTAGGTAACGCTGGCTTTGATGGTGGCTCATGTGCTGGCTGGAGGAAAAGTGGAGCTGCTCTGAGCACAGCTCTGTCCAGCAGGGTGCTGGGGGCAGCTGGGGGCAGGGTTCACCTGTGATTTATGGCACTGCTCAGGGGATAATCCCACCACTGCCTTTCTGTGCCAGGTTAAGAACTCTTGCCAGGCCCTCAGGGGCACATCCATACCCTTGTGCAGTGAGGATTTGCTGATCCAGCTGAAAGCTGGCTCTGCAGGGAGAACCATGTAGAATACTTGAGCAGACATAAGCCAGGAAGCAGGAACATGTGGCTCACAGAGATGAGCCACGAGCCCTCTGCTCAGCTGAGCTCAGTTTCACTTTGGCCCAAGCAAATCCAGGCAGCCCATAGACAAGTTTCACTGGCAGGCCAGTGAGAGCAGCACCGTGGCTTAGGGAATCTGTGTTTTTCACCCACAGCATTTATTTTGCAGGTACCAAGGAGTACAACCAGCCTTCTGCTCCAGGTGCCCAAGGATGGGGACACCTCGGGAGACACGGTGTGCAGCTTCTGGAAACCTCGGGAGCATGGAGGGAATATGGAGCTCAGCAGCAGTGTTGACAGTGTGCAAGGACCTCATGGAAGAAGGTACATGTACACACACACACACAGAGTCACTGTTCTGGTTTCCTCTAGTGTGCTGCAGGATGCACACTTGGGTGATTTTAAACAAATCTATGTGTTTTATCATACCTGGGCGATTCTAAAGAAATGTGTGTACTTATCATATTTGGCTACACCTGGCAGTCAAGTCACGGCCACACATGTTCAAAAACGTCTGAAAATTCACTTTTTATCTGGTTTCGGGGATCAGCTTTCTTAACCTGTTTCAGAGAGCGCAAACAACGGGCGAATAAACGAACAGCCCGTTACCGGGCGCCTGGGCCAAGAAACCCCTCCGGTGCCCCGCAGTTAAGCACTGCGAGGACAAGGGCGAGCGGCAGGTGCCGCGGCCGCGCAGGCGCTCGCTCCGCCAGCCGCTGGCGGGCGGGCAGCACCCCTTCTCCCGGCGGAACGGGCAGCCAACCGTACCGGGGGAGGGATCCATTAGCGACACTCCAATTTCGGAACCGTGTGCCCTCCAGCCCCGCAAGGTACCGGCACCGACCCCGGCCACGCCCGCGGCCCCGAGCGCGCTGCGCACATCTGGCGCTCCAGCTGCGCCCGCGCCTGCGCGCGCCGCGGAGGGGCGGGCGCGGCTCCCCGCACACACACACGGGGCAGGCGCCGCCCCTCGCCATTGGCGGAGCGGCGCCTCGGTCCCGCCCCGCTGGGGGCGGACGGCCCCGCCATTGGCCGCGCCGGCCGGCGGCGCCTCTCGGTTGGCTGCGGCGGCGCCGTGGGCGGGGCCGCGCCTTCACCGTGAGGTGCGGGAGGGCCCCGGTCGCCGCCGCCACCGCCGCCGGTTCCGGGTCCGCGGGGGAGAAGCCGCGGAGGGCGATGGCGTAAGTGCGGATGCGGGGGGAGCCGGGACCGGGCTGCGCTCCGCTCCCTGTAGGGATCGGCCCGGCGCGCAGGGGTCGGCCCCGCCGCTCGCCCTGGGCCTGCCGGGAACACGCAGCCGCCCCCGCGCCGGGAGCAGCCGCGGTTCGGCGCGGGGCTCTGCCGGGCCGGGCCGGGGAGGAGGCCCCGTGCCTGTCCTGCCGCCCCGGAGGGCGCTGTGCTGACCCCCGGGTGCCGGTGCCGCCGTGCTGCCCCGGCCCCGGCCGCTCCCCGGGGCAGCGGTGCCTGGAGAAGCCCCTCCGGTGTCGGGGATTCGGTGTTTTCCCTTCGGCGTGGGTTAACGCCGTGCAGAAAAGGTGTGAGGCCAGGGGGCGGGAGCTCAGGCGCCTCCGGTTGTGTTCGGCCTGCGAGGGAAGTTTCCCTCTGCTGGTCCCTGGGCGGTGAAAGGCGATCTCTGCCAGTGCCTCTGGTCCTCAGAGGGTTTAACACACACACAGTGATTTAACAAGACGTGCACCTGCTTTTTGGTGTGTCTGAAGCTGTAGTGGTCATGTTACGTAATGATGTTAAGATAACGTGCTTGCACTTTGCCTTATCAATAAAAATCGCGATGTAATTACCAACATAACGTGTACATAACACATACAGTACATAACATAACACTGGTATGGTGGAGGTGTGTTTTGGAGGTGGCCGTGTAGCAAATATCCCTATCACAATCTTTGGACTGATTTCCCAGCATTCACTCAACTTCGTGAAAACTTCCCAAGTTGGTAATTTGCTGCGACGTGTAACTTTATCAGGCTTAATATTGAAAAGGCCACAGTTGTTGCCAAGTAAGTTGTTCTGTTGTCTCGCTTAATCCAGTAATTTTGCTTTTCTGGCTTCTTTTTATTGTGGCTGTACAGGGTTTCCACACACCCCCTGCTTTTTATGTGTAGTGACCAGCTAAACAATGGGGCCAGAAATTTTGGCAACTGAGAAGAAAAACTGGAGTGGAGGAGGAAGTATTCCTATTGTTTGTAAAAATATGTTAATAGGTTATTCAAACAGCCATTGATAAAAACAGTATTGAGCATCTAGTTAGGCAATTGGTTCTGAATGGATGTTCAGGGATGTTTATTTAGGATCGTGGCCTGAATTTGCACATTCTGATAGTGCTGATGAGTAGGTTTTGCTTTGTGTGGAGGTATGGACACATTTAGGGAGAGCTCTTACCCTTGTGAGTGGCGTGCTGAAGTCACTCACCCTTTTGAGAATGCTGTTAAGGGAGCTTTGGCATGTGAAATGTGCATCAGCTGCTGTTTGGTGATTGCTCTTTTGCACCATTTTATCCCCTAGGAAATGGGCAAGAGGTTAATGCTTTTGGTTAGCAGTGTGCAGAATTATCTTGTGTTTACTGGGACATGTAACACTTCTCCTAGTAACTTCTTATCTCCTCACATAACTTACTTTAGCATTTGTTGCTGCACCAAAATCTTTGTGGTGACTCCAGGCTGGGCTGAACCTGTAGGTAGTTCACTTAATGTAGGTACAAGACTGAATCCTAGTTTGATTTATGGCAAAGACTTCTCCTTTCCCCAAGTTGTGGTGATGTGTCAGAGCAGCAATTTAGAGGAAGTATACTTCTGGAAAAATTCAGAGGTGTGGAGTAGATGATTTAGTTTCATAGAGTATTTCAGAGGTACAGTGCTGAACTCAAAAAAGGTGAGGAAAAAAAGTTATTGCCTTGTTGTTCAGAACATCAACAAAGGGCCCAAAGGCA